GGCGATATAAATGAAATCGCCAACTAATGGAGGAGACAGAGCCCCAGATGGCTGTCCCTTGTCACCAAATGAAGCTTCCAGTTCCAGGATTGGGGTTACTTATAATTGAGTTTTAGCCAAAGGGGTCCCATGTGAATCCCCAAACAACCCAGGCTGTTTTTAAGACTATAGGTTGCTCTCCACAAACAGATAGCAAGGCCCCATTTTTGAAGACAACACCTACACAACCCATTGAAGATGGAAAGTTGGGCTGGCTCCTACATACAACCTCAAAGTCTTTAGTACAGGAAGGCAGTCTGTACACTACCAAAGGAGAAATGTAAACACCAACCCAGCCACAACTCTTTGATCTACAATGGTGCCCTGCCTGCAACATATGCCAGTGCAATGGTGGTACACACTTGATGGGGTAACCAACCAATATCTGATTTGACTCAGGTCCCACTTCACAAGATGGAACCCATAGCTGATACTGCTTGGAGGATCAAGAGCCTGAACCTAGAGAGCCCAGGGACCCAAGACAAAACCAAATACTATTTCTAAAAACAAAACCAAAAACATAGCAATAAAGTACCTCCTAATGGCATTCTGTTATGCTCATAGATCAGTGCTTTGCTCAGCCATCACTAGAGAAGCCTTCTCCTGCAGCAGATAGGAACAAATACAGAGTCCCACAGATAGACATTAGGCGGAGAGGGATATTGAAACTAAACAGGATGTCTGCATCAAATCCCTCCCCTCGAAGCTCAGGGAACCCGGTGGAAGAGAAGGCAGAAAGAGTATTAGAGGAGCCAGAGAGGATGGTAGACACCAAGAAAACAAGTTCCTAAATCAACATGCATGGATGCAGAGACTGAGGCAGCATCCATACAGTCTGTATCATTCTGGAACAGATGGGGTCCTCGAGCTGAGAGAAGCAGACACCGTGCCCTCATCCCTAACCCAGAAGTAATCTCCAGTTGATAACCACTTCCAAAGGAAAATTTAGTTTCTTTGGAGGTTCACTGTCTTACAGTGTCATGTCAGAGCTTCTCCTTTAAAAGCTGATTTTTTAATCTTATTTTCATTATATATATATATAAAACACCTTTCCTTTTATACTACATATATATTTACCCATCTCTCTCTCTCTCTCTCTCTCTCTCTCTCTCTCTCTCTCTCTCTCTCTCTCTCTCACACACACACACACACACACACACACACACATATATATAATGGCTCCCCATTTGGTGATTTTTTTTTCCATTAAGATTTATTTATTTGGGGCTGGAGAGATGGCTCAGAGGTTAAGAGCACTGACTGTTCTTCCAGAGGTCCCAGTCCAGTACCCCCTTTAGTGTTTTAATGGAATTCTTAAGTGTGTGAAGAAGTGAGTCTCTGTTTCTTGTGTTTTCTCTCAAACTTGTATCCTTCTGTTTCTTTTGTCCAATTCCAACATGTTCATTTATGTTTGCCTTATCTTATTATCATCCTTAGAAGCCTGCTTGTTTTCTCCTGAGAGACAGAAGCAGGTGGATATGGATGGGAGGGGAGAGTGAGTGGAATGCGGAAGGGTAGAGGGAAGGAAAACTATAATCAAAATATATTATGTGAAAAAAAATCCATTTTCAATAAAAGGAAAATCATAGAAAAACCTCTGTAAAATTTCTCCCTTATTCTTGAAGAAAATACAAGATACAAGAAGAACTAGTTTAACACTCCCAGATCTGTATGTATTAATCATTGAGAGTAATTGCTTATATATGGGTCTTCATAGACTTCTGAAGCTAGGCCTTTAGCTAGTATGTTTAAAGAAAAAAGTATCATTGACACAATTGGTGCTTGGTAAAATACCCAGTCAACTCTCTTGACACAAATGGCATGAAGATCAATTTGTCCTGGTCCTCCTCGTTTCTCCTTTTCCAGCATTATCGTTTTCTTTCCGCTGGAACCTCCTCCTTTGCCTAACCCTTCAATAGTGGAGTTTTTGAGATGTCCCATCAGCACAGTTTCTGCTTTCTTTCATTATCATTCATGGGGGGGGGTATCACTTTACCCATTGTGATGCATTAATTCCTTAAAAATGCTGGATGAGTCTCTACAATGTGCGGACTCTACCCTTGGAACTAGCACTGCACTAAGAAACAGAGTCTTGTTCTCACAAGTTCATCTCAAGGACAGATATAACAGCTAAGTAAACATCAGCAGTGAAAAGTGAAGTATACTTAATATCACAAGCCATGCAGGCATCGAGTAACAGCCATGATGCTGGTGCGCTTAGAGAATGCAGCTAGTCTAAGGCCCACTGAGGAGCTATTTTGGGAGCTACCTGCATAATGATGGGAAGTGAGCCATAAAAGCCTAAAGCAGGAAACAAGCTTGGTGGATTCTAGGAAAAAGAGGAAGGTCTGAGTAACTGGAATAGAGGCCGCAGACAGGCAGAGAACAAACCATTAAAGACTTTGTAAGACATGGCAAGTACTCAGGATTGTATTCTGTTTGTTGGGACACCATTTATGGGTTATAGTTAGGTTTATGTCTTTTTAAAAATATTTTTAATTGAAATAGAAGTGTATCACTTTCCCTCCTTTTCCTTCCACCAGTTCCTCTCACGTTCCCAACTCTTAGGTTAATAGCCCCCTTTCTTTCTTTCCCTTTTCTTTTTTTTTTCCAAGACAAGATTTCTCTATATAACAGTCCACTTCTTTCTCTTTGAATATATTTGTTACACACACACACGTAACATGCTGTGTCCATTTTTGTTGTTTCTGTGTCTCTGCACTGGAAAGTCAGTAAGAGGGACTAAGAGTAGGGCAAATGCATAGAAGAAAATAAAGGAGTAAATTCTTATAACATTACAGTATATAAACTTTTCTTACATATAATATTAAGTGCACTCATGACAACAAAAACTACCCAAGTTGAACAATATCAAAGTTTGAAAGTGTGCTCCAAAGGATAGCATCAGGAAAGTGAAAAGACAAGCCAGAGGACAAGAGTATTTGTAAACTACACACACCTGAAGGAGGAATATACACCAAACACTCAAAAGCAAGCAGGCTTTTGCCCCTCTGGTTTCTAGTGGGAAGTCAAAGGTAGGAGAGTAATAGCTTGGAACCCTTCCCTGCTGGACCAGTTTGGAAGTGGCAGGACACACCCGCCAAAGGTTTTGTTTCTTTAAGCTGGAGAGGCAATGACTTCCTGTGATCCCAACCCTATAGTTATTTTTGTGTTATCCTCTAACTCGCTAGGACAGCTCTAATACAAAGGACAGATGATAAAGTACTTTGTAGGAGTATAAATAGTACAGCCGATTGGATCACACCTGGCAGTTCCTCAGTTAAACATCAGTTACTGTATGACCCAGTAATTCCAATCCTAGATAACTGTTTACACAAAAACAAGTATACAAATGTTAACAGTAGAATTACTCATAATTGCAAAAAGCAAAAACAACCTTCATGTCCTTTCTAATGAATGGGGTAAGTGAAATGGGATCTATCCATACAGCAGACTATTAGTTAGAATAAAAATGAATGAAATATGGATACAAACCACACACTGCCAAACTGCTCTTGTACTTTATATTCAATGTCTGCTTCTCAACATCATTATCCAAACTACTATATTCTGTTCTGCAACCAAGGCCCAGTTTTTTAAAAATAAGCTAAAACTGAAGGATGACTAAACCAATAAGCAATATTGATAAATATACTAGAAAATAGTCTTAAGTCTGCATTTTTAATAAAGGAAGTTTAATAATAAAATAAAGAGTTTTGCTCAAAAGATTGACATATTGACTAAAAGTATAATACCACTTAATTTCTGTGTATCTTTTGAAACATCAATGAAGAGACTAATAAGGGAAGGACACAAAGAGGCTATAAATAATTTCCAACTAGCCTCTTCTTTGTGTTTGCAATGAGGGCAATTTTTTCAAGACTAAAGTAAAAATGTGTGAGAAGGTAAATGGGCTTTTCCCGGTGTCTGGAGAACTTACTGTTTATCTTCTACAGATAAAGGGATTAGGGACACATACTTCTCAGGAAAATCCTCCACACAGAACCTTGTTGTCCATTGTTCCAAGACTGAATCATCTGTCACCTCCGGATATGAAGCAGCTTAGGCCAAAATGAACAGGCAACATTAGTTTCTAAAACATCCTTTTACTCTTAACATAAGAAAGCCAAACATCCATCATTTTCATTATGGAGTTACCTTTACTTGTTCAAACATACACTTACTTTTCCAAAGTGGTCTCTGATTCTCATCATTATAATCTGCTTCCCCCAAAAGTATCGTCTGAGTATACTAATAACTCCCTCCTTTTCACAGCTTCTCTTTGCTTAGACATCACTACCACTATGCCCAGATCACCCTGTTCAACAGTTCATGCTTTGCCTTATAAGGCCTTCATTAAGCATTCCAGTTCATTCTGATGTTCTTTCCTTGAAGGTCCATGATATGGCAAGTATAGCTTTGGTATTTAATCATAGACAGCTCTATATTGAAATTTTATGCTTCTATAGATTACTTCTTAGATTAGATCCTTGATTCCTTAAGAAGAGGGACCATATCATATTCTGCTCCAGAATATGCAACTATGCACTTGCATATTCTACCATGAGTAGTATCTCAGTCTGAGTGTCTTCTTCCCAGTATTGTTACTTTGAAGATGTTACATCTTCATCCATGCCTCATAGAAAAACAGTGGCCTTAGGTGGGAACACAGGCCACAGACACCAACATGGCCTCTGGGGGGAGCACAGGCCACAGACACCAACATGGCCTCTGGGGGGAGCACAGGCCATAGACGGTCACATGGCCTCAGGCAGCAACACAGACCACAGTAGCAAAAAAACAGGGACACCAGCAGGGTCTCCTGCAGCACTGACCACAGACACCAGCTTGCCCTCCCGTATCGGCATGGACGATGGAGGTCTTTTGAGGAGGCTTAATCCAAAACCCGAACTGTTCTTCCTCTCTGATATTTTGTTGTTGTTCAGAGCCAGCTTTTCTTGCAGCTGGGCAGCACATTGCGGGGGCAGAGCCTGCATGAGCTCCGAGCCGCTGCATGCCACCCTATGGGCCCCGCTTCCCATACCTGTTACTGCTGCACCTCTAGTTCCGCCTCTCTTCGGGCACGCCACTCACTCTACCCTTTCCCGCCTCTCCATTGCACATTCATCCATCAAAGTGGCACTGCAAACTGTTGTGTGTCACACAGTAAAATTTCTTTGCCCAAACAGTTTTACATGCAAATACTTATGGCAAGGGGTCATTGGTCTGGTTCAAGGTTTGGAGTAAACACAGCTATCACTGAAACCAGTCTCTGACTTCCTGCTGTTTCCCAGAGGCAGGGTGACCTTGAAGTTGAGCAGCACTGCTGGAGGCACCCCCACTCCAGCCCCAGGCCACTGCACACCTCTCCATCCTCGCTCAGCTTCCTGCTCCCCTCCAGGGCAAACGGCAAGAGCTGAAGCAGTGGTGACTCCCTGCTGTGGGCCTGAGCCTCCCTGAGGGCCTAGGACTGACCCCACTGAGCAAGACGTGCTCCCCCATCCTCCCCTGCTGCTGCCTCTAATTTAGCTTCTCTCCACCACACCTGGCCACACACTACCTTTTTTTTTTTTTTTTTTCCAATTTCATGAGACCACTTTTTGAAAGCATTTTCCCATGAGACCTGATCTGCTTTAGTTGTCCTGGAGACATTGCACACTCTACAGACTCATCTTCCTCTGCCTCTGTGGGTCTGTGGTCCCTCCAGTGCCGATGGCCACCACCATCTTAAATTGAGGACTGCTTCATTGTTAAATTTTACTTCAAAGAGGCAGCACTTTTATTACTCGAAATCTTATTGCTCTTTTCATGGTACTCAATAGACTTCTTTCCAAAAAAAAAAAAAAGTTTACATCACCCAAGCATTTCTTAAATGTTACCCAAATCCATTCTCCTCTTACTATACTCCAAGGATACAATGTGTGTGGAGGTCAGAGTCAGTTCTCACATCCCATCACATGGGTTCCCAGGTTCAAACTCAGGCTGTGAGGTTTGGCAGCAAGCATCCTTACCCACTGAGCAGTCTTGCTAGGCCCCAAGTCTCTACTTTTGACTCCCAGCCCCCAACCCTTCCCATTTTTTTTTTTTTTAGAAAACCAGAATTGTCTTTCTGAAATATAATTTGGCTTTTCTTATTCCTTTCCTTAAAACTGTCCAAGGGTTTCTCATATTTGCAATTGTTTAGGCAGTCTGAGCCGCTACAGCACACATCCTAGAGACTCGATGGCACAGCTGAGACCATTTACTCTTCACAGCGTGGTAGGGTAGGAAGTGTGGGAACAAGATCCAGCAGATTCGGTATCTGAAGGAGAGTTTCTTCTACTTCCTCTTGCTATGCCCTCAAGACAAAAAGGAAAAGTGGATCCTTTGGGCTATCTTATACAGGAGCACAAATCTCAAGCTTCATGACCCCTCCTCTGATACAATCACAATGGGGCTTAAATTGAGTCGTGTGGTCTCGAGGGCACGTTCAGGCTATTGTTCTACAGAGTCTTAGACCACATAAAATTTGCTCACATAGGTCTCCTCCTTTTCCTTCTTCAGTCATATGGCCTAATTTTCTTAATTTACTACACTGAAGTAACTTGTATGATATAAAAACATACCTCTTGTCCATGGACTTCTATATTCATCATCAACAACGTTTTTATCTTGATTTAAACACGGAGGGATCGGAAGCAATAAAGCATCTCTGCAAATCCTTTCTTTAACTGTGTTCTGCATGAAAAAATCATTTTAACATACACTATTTACTAATAATCAGAATATTATTGTTATAAGCTGATATAATTTCTTTAAAACTGATACATTTGTCATAAAATGTCCAATTAAAGAACCATGTAACTGAGGATAATATAAGCAAGTTGTCTTACAAATATTTTTCTATGATACACTAAAATATATGTGTGCTGGACCAAAAAAAGTATTACATCACTTAGCAATAGATAGATTTTCACTATCTCAGAATAAGTGGAATAAAAGATCATTTAAACTGATCTATATAAAATGAGGATCAAAGATACACGGAAACAGGAAAAAACCTTAATTAGTACTTCATTTAAAAAGAAAGTAATAAGAAACAATTTACATCTAATAAATTGTGTTTACGATTACTTCTGAGGTAAGTTTTTCATAAACTATATGATAACACAGAAGGCATTACTTTTCTTCTTTGGTCAGAAAGGAGCTAATTTGTGAAAACATGAATTAGTAAGACATCTCTGACTCCTTGGATATTCAGATCATTTTTTTCTATTGTCTGCTAAGCAATTTTACTTTGTCAGATCTTCATATTGTTATTTGAGTGGCTCTTAATACATCTTAGTCAGCTTTATAAAGTCTCACACCTTCTGCAAGAGCTGACATTTCTCAGCCTCCACCATGGAGTGCAATACACCAGCATTAATAAGTAACCAGGAGTTAAGAAAATATCTTTGACGACTCTTGAGTATCTGCATTTTTGCAAGTAATCCAAGCATATGTTATAACTGCATATTTGTGTCTCTCAATTATGAGAGAATAAATAAAACCTAAAGATGACTATATATATATATTTTTTAATCTCATAAAGTGCAACCGAGTTTTAGTTTACTGCAATATTTTTGTACTAGTCAATGGGGAAGGTTAATGTAATAACGGAAATGAAATTTTAACTTGTCATTTAAGGTCATAAGAACAATAAACTATTACGTGATCTCCTGCAATACATTTATTAACAATATACCTGGACTTGAAATTCCTCTCTGACATCTTTTTAAGACACTCAGCTAATGGTGAAGCTGTAAAACCTGTATTTGATGTGTGGGTACTTACACTGATCAAATGACATAATCCACTAGATGGACAAAGTATCTTTTTCATCAAGACACACTGTTATTGTCACAACAACAATGACTTGGATTACTTTTGTACCTGTTCTTTCTTTTTATGTTTGTATTCTTTTCTTTTTTTGAGGTGGGGTACCACTATACAGCCCCGGGTGGCTTGAAACTTATCTTGCTGTTTAGTTTTCCAAGTACTGGGATGATAGGCATGTGCCACCATTTCCCATGTCTCTTAAAGGAAGACCACTTCAGAATGTTAGTAAACACCCTCAAAACTTGTAAAAGTCTCGTTATTTTCTTCAGGTAGTTTCACACTTACTTTGCTATTCAATTATTTAATTCAAAAGTCCCTTACAAAAGTGGACTTTTAAAGATACATTAAAAGTTGAAACTAAGGCCTGGTGTGATGGTATACACCTTTAATTCCAGTACTAGGGAGGCAGAGGTGGGTGGATCTCTGTGAGTTTGAGTTTAGCCTGGTCTACAAAGTGAGTTCCAGGGCAGCCAGGACTTCAGAAAGAGACCCTGACTTGAAAAACAAAAACAAAACAACATAAAAATGTTGAACTAGGGCGGGTGAGCTGGCTCAGAGATTGAAGGCACTTATCACCAATGCTGATGAGCTGAGTTTGATTTCCAGGACCCACACAACAAAAAGACAGAATCAACTCTTGCAAGTTGTCCTCTCAACCTGTTCATACACACTACGGCAAGAATATGTATACACACAGACAGACAGACACACACACGCACACACATACACACAATGAGTATTTAATTGCTATAAAACCTAAAGTAATTTTAATGACCCTGAAAGCAATTAAAGATTAACCTGTGGATTACTGAAAATTATCATATACTAGATACACATAATATGTTTTCAAGAATATTTTTTAGTAAATGGATAGACGGCAGTAACATCATACCTCATGTAAATAGTCTATTGCATAATATTTGAATGCCGAAAACATAGCTCTTCCCTTCAAAGACACACAGAGTTCACTATCTAGAAATAAAAAAAATAAAATAAATGTTGGAAAAATAGCAAAGCTGAGAATAAAAGAAATCTCTCTTAACCACGAATCTTTGGTTCACTTATTTTTCAAAAGGCTCTAAATTATAAAAGTAAAGTATAAAGTAACATTTATTTTTGTGGTTGAAAATCTAATATGAAAATAATATGTGTTATTATACATTTTTCTATATTTTCTCTTGTAATTTAATTTATACAAGCTGGGTCAAGTATGTTTAATATGATAATTTAGTTGAAAGGAAGCTGGAGTCAGTGGCAAAGACTGACACGGTATTTTATCTAGGGTTATTATGCTTTGCAAATGATTTTGAAATTAAATAACCAAGGTCAAAACTCTGTCATGAAGAAGTAGAGGGCTGGAAAGATAACTCAGCAGTTAAGGACACTGACTGCTCTTGCCAAGGACCCAGGTTTGAGTACCAGCACCCACCTGTCAATACTGTCTGTTACTCCAATTCCAAAGGACCTGAAGCCCTCTTTTGACCTCCAAAGGTGCTGGTGCACAGACAGGCACTTGAGCAAAAACACCTATATGCATAAAAAGAAAATAAATAAATCTTTAAAAAGTAGTAACATAGTGGGAGGCACTAAAAGTTTTCTTAAACCCTATTTAAAAAAGAAATAGAGTAAGACTTGGGAAATTATATCTGTTCTCTTACTTAGAAAATAAAAGGCCTGAAGCTAGAATTCTCTAATTGCTAGTTCACCCGGAATAAAGCAACTATGGCATGATAAAGCTATCAGGGCCACAGACTATTGGAAATTCAACCAATCTACTTAATAAGACAATAAGCAATTAGAACAAGTAATTAGGCCAAGATGGTTCCCACATTGAGAATTCAAGGAATTGTGCCTTAGAAGTTACCCGGTATATCAAATAGCTAATATTTTTGCCATCTAAAACATCTGGAAGGAGTGGAATGTTGTGATGCATGCCTCTATTCTAAGCACCAAGGAGGAAGAAGGTGGATTTAGAGTTAAAGCCAGTTTGGGCTATACAGTGACGCCTTCTCTGAATAAAGTATGTGGGATGCTGAGATAGCTCAGTGGTCAAGGACTTGACCAGCATGCTCAAGGCTCTGGGCTCAAGCCCTATCCTTGCAAAAAGCAACAAAATAGTCTCAAGAAATCCAGATGTCAATCAGATGTTTCACATAATAGTTTATCAATAACATTTTATTGAGTTAAGTACATATTATAATACAAATGCTCTTGGCCTAGTGTGGTAGCTTGAGTGTTTTGGGCCCCCATAAACTCATAGGGAGTTGCACTATTAGGAGGTGTGGTCTTGTTGGAGGCTGAATGACACACACCTTTAATCCAGACCTCGAGGCTGGAGGGCACACTTTAATCCAGGTCCCACCTTCTGCTGGATGTGTGTCATTATGGGGGCGGGCCTTGAGGTCTTTTCCTCAAGCTTCACTCAGTGTGACAGTCAGTCAACTTCCTGCTGCCTGCAAGATGTAGGATGCTTGGCTATTCCTCCAGCACCAGGCTTGCCTGCATGCCACCATGCATGCACGATGGACTGAACCTCTGAACTGTAAGTGTGCCACCACAATTAAATGTTTCCTTTATAAGAGTTGCTGCGGCCACGGTGTCTCTTTTTTTTTTTTATATTTATTTGTTTATTATGTATACAATATTCTGTCTGTGTATATGTCTGAAGGCCAGAAGAGGGCGCCAGACCTCTTTTACAGATGGTTGTGAGCCACCATGTGGTTGCTGGGAATTGAACTCAGGACCTTTGGAAGAGCAGGCAATGCTCTTAACCACTGAGCCATCTCTCCAGCCCCCACGGTGTCTCTTCACAGCAATACAAATCTAACTAAGACACCTGTTTTAATTATTATTTCATTTTTTTTGTGATTTACCTGTTGTCTTATGTAAAGTTACGTTCTTAAGTCTGAAGAGCTGAAGATATAGCCTGGGCGGTGGTGGCACACGCCTATTTAATCCCAGCACTTGGGAGGCAGAGGCAGACAGACCTCTGAGTTTTAAGCCTGGTCTATAGAGTGAGTTCCAGGACAGCCAGGGCTACAGAGAGAAACCCTGTCTCAAAAAAAAAAACAACAACAAAACAAAAAAAAAAAACAAAAACAAAAAGAAAACCCCTGAAGATTCCATCTATAGGAGAGGGCTATAATATATCCCTGTTTTCAGTTATCATCAGGTGACTATTCTTCTTGTAAACTTTTTGATACATTTTTATTTATTGTGTGTGTGTGCGTGCGCACACACGCGTGCATGCATGCACAATTGTGTCACTGTCTGTGTGGAAATCAAGGGACTACTTGTGGGATTCTATTCTCTCCTTCTACCATGAAGGTCCTAGGCATCAAACTCAGATCCTCTTACTGCCCCAAAGAGAACATCCTTAACTATTCAACTTGCTGAAAAACTTAAAAACAAACTTCTAACATAACCCACAACACAATTATTTTAATTAGTAACAGAGAAGTTTTTTAGATATTACAGTCTTTCAATTAAACTGAGCAGATGCACGATCCAGATTAGTTTTAATATTGACAGAATCTTAAATATCAGTAAGTATGGGGTCAGTTAGGTGCTACACCCACTCTTAATGCCAACATGAAATTTTTTTAAACTGCTGATTATCCCTGAGGATATTTATAATCATTACAACTCTATGCCTTTCCATACATTATAGTCTTTGAAGCAAACAATGATTCTAGAACTTTCATTTCTTTTTTAAAATTTGATTTATGTGTACTAGTGTTTTGTCTGCATGTGTGTCTGCATACCACAATGTGTGTGCCTGGTGCCCTTGCATGTCCTGGGACAGGGGCTACCGATGCTGAGAGCTGCCATTTAAGGACAGGGAATCAAACCCATTTCCTCTGAAAGAGCAGGCAGTGCTCTTAACCACTGAGTCATGGCTCTAGTCCCAATTTTTTATGTCTTAAAGTTATGTTTTCTCAGAAAATCATGACTGTGTATCATTATATAAGTGAACTGAAAGACTTTTAAAAAAAAAGAAAAAAAACCCAACTCTTAATTTGCCCACTCAATTTGTGGTTTGCATTTATTTTCAATTTTCTGTCCTTACTTGTAACACCTAGCATCTCTATCGACTTTAGATTCATCATGCTCATCAACTATTTGGGAGAAAGTGGTTTTTGTATTGATATCAATCATTGACACTCACACTACTTACGGTAAGGCACATGGCCTTCACTACCAGAATTGCATATGCCAAGTCTACTGTGCTGAATAACTGCTCTCTGAACCCACCTTAGTTTGTTGGGTGCATGGGAAGAAAAGATAAGTTGGCTTGATATTTAAAGGCCAATCAAACACATACACAAGCATAATCACAGTCAAGATTAATTTTTTCTGGTTTGCTTTGTTGATTTTTGAGACAAGGTCACACTTCGGTGGGCCTCAAATTCACAAGGAATCTGCCTGAGAGTGGGGATTAAAGCTGTGTGTCATCACACTGGCCAGAAGTAATTTTTTTTTTAAAGATTCACTTGTAAATTGTAGTAATTTCCTAGGTTTATTTTTAAATCTACTTCTAAAGATTTCACTTCCTCTCAGAATGGTTCAACATGCACATAAACCCAATAATTAGGTCAGGATTTTTAACGCAAAGCTGGGGTAGTTTTTACCAATATTGCTGATGGAGGTGGGTCTTGTATCTTATCTGTTGCTTTCATTGGTTAATAATAAAGAAACTGCCTCGGCCCTCATAGGACAGAAAATTAGGTAGGTGGAGTAGACAGAAGAGAATGCTGGGAAAAAGAATCTTAGTAGAGGAGTCGCCATGATTCTCCTGCTCCAGACAGATGCAGGTTAAGATCCTCCCTGGTAAGCCAGCTCGTGGGCTACACAGAATATTAGAAATGTGTTAGAACAATATGTAAGAGCTAACCAATAAGAAACTGGAACTAGCGGGGCCAGGCAGTGTTTGAAAGAATACAGTTTCCGTGTAATTATTTCTGGGCATAAGCTAGCCATGCGGGCGGCCAGGTGCCGGGGACGCAGCCCTGCCGCTCCTATTTCAACATATTGCCCCCAAGGTAAGAAGAGTGTGAATCTTTGAGACACATCTTCTTCCAGTACATGAAGGCATTCTCGAATTTTCTCCCCTTCCATACACCTTTCCATACATAAACCTCGTAAGACATTCTCGAATTTTCTCCCCTTCCATACTCCTTTCCATTCCTTTCCATATATAAACCTCATAAGAACCTCCCCCTACCCTGGGGTAGGGGAGGCTGTAAAATTTGTAAAAGAGGCGCATTTTGTTTACTTTCTCATAGCCTATGCAACTAGCTGGGTGGAAACCCACTAGCCTGTCAGGCCCAAGAATCCCTGCAACCCCGAATGAGGCGGGGCAGAAGCTGGATTCGAGACCTCGTCCCTGCTCGGCTACGTTAACCACAGCGCAGAAATCGGCTTTCTGGAGAACTTTGAGCTGCCATACTTCAGCCGCGTGGAAGCTTTCCTTACCCTCAGCTGGAGCAGGCTCTTCCTTCTCTCACACGAGGTAACGCCTCCCGCTTTGGGTCCACCAGAGACGATGTCCCCGCCCACAGGCCTCGTGTCCACGGATGGCGGCTGAACGCCACACTCCCATTGGCCAGGCCAGACTCCGCCCTCTGGCTCGGTTCCTCAGTTGCCCGGATGTCAGAGTCTAGGGCGTTCTGCACGTCGTTCCCAGAGCCGAAGCCCGTTCCCACCCTGGTAGCCTGGGTGAGGTGTGACATTTGTGAGGTGTGACAGAGGCCATGGCGGCCGGAAGTCTGGAAGAGCGGAGTCTGGATTTATTCTTAGCCGGGCTACCATGTTATTAGCTAAAGTCTCCAGAAGCAACGCATGGCCAATAGCTTTTTCCGCAGGTAACTTTTAAGAGCATTTAGCGATCAAATGGCTGCAGGGAAAGCGAGAAGGCAAACGGGAGGAGGCAACCATAGGTGTGAGGCCAGG